ATGCATGGCCCAAATCCTCAAATGTTTGCACCATACTTCCAAATGCATGTTGCCTATTTCCCCCTGATTATTCCCAACACTAGAACTATACAAATAGAACCCTCTCCCCCACTTCAGTGGGCTCTCCTTACACCTGACCCTCTGAGAAGTCTCTCTCTATCCATCACAAGTTCCTCTAAAACCCACAAAACAGCAATACTACCACCATCCAGTCACTTCTGACTCATAGCAATGCAATATAGGGTTTCTGTATGGGAGCAGACAATCTCATCTTTCTCCTAGAGAGCAGCTGCTGGTTCTTTGGTTAGCAGTCCAGTGCTTGTCCTACAGTGCCACCAGGATTTCTGAATTCCTCTAGTGGTTCTCAAATTTCATGTATATAAGGATGGTGAGAATCCTGGTGTGGCGTTGTGGGCTAATGCGTCAGACTGCAAAGTCATTTGAACTGCAAGGTTGGTGGTTCAAGCTCACCAGCTGCTCCTTGGAACCCCTATACAGGGTTGCTATGGGTCAGAATCGACTTGATGACACTTAACAACAACAACACAAGGATGGTGATGGGGTGGAAGGGCATTTGAGGAGGACTTCTTTTCACAAGTACTTCCAGGCCCCTTAGGGTTGCATAGTCTAAACATATCTTCTGCCATAAAGTTGATTCGAACTCATAGTGACGTGATAGGACACAGAAGAACTGCTCTCTAGGGTATCTGAGATGGCAAATCTTTTTGGGAGCAGAAAGCCTCATCATTCTCTGGCAGAGTGGCTCGTGGGTTTGAACCACCAACTGTCCCTAAGACTTAATCAATTTTGCTTAACGCTTAATCCACTTCACTGCCAGGTTTCCGCCCTTCAGACACAGGTCTGAGTAACTGGGATTTGAGCACACTAGGAATCATACAGGAGAAACACATCCTGAAACGCCGGGTTTCCCTAAATTTTCTCCTAGGGTTCCTTCCCCCTATTGACTTATTTTTGGGGCTTCAACTCTCCTTTCTATGAATAGAGAATCTGAGATCTATCTTCTGATTCCTAGATTTTCTGTGGCATTCTAGACCAGGGGTGGGGAATGTCTGGTCCGCGGGGCCATTTAGTGTGGTCCTGCCAAGGTAAATGCAATTTCAGCCATCACATTTGTTGTTGTTAGGTGTCATCAAGTCAGTACCAATTCATAGCGACCTTGTGCACAACAGAATGAAACACTGCCCGGTCCTGGACCAACCTCACTATTGTTGCCATGCTTGAGCCCAATGATGCTGCCACTTTGCCAATCCATCGCACTG